CAGCATTTTAACACTTACATTTTGTTGAAAGGTTTGAAGCAAGTTTGAAAAAAATGTCACCTGGCATAAACCGCTTTTGCTTATTTATTCTGTGCAATGATGTAGTAACATTTAATTCCTATGCAGGGTTTCATGATTCAAACTGGTGACCCAACTGGTACAGGAATGGGAGGTGAAAGTATTTGGGGAGGAGAATTCGAAGATGAGTTTCATTCAACTTTACGACACGACAGACCATACACGCTCAGCATGGCTAATGCAGGACCAAATACCAACGGGTCCCAGTTTTTTATAACAGTAGTGCCAACTGTAAGTAATACAAAAAGCCAGATAGTAAAAATATTTTTTTTCTGATGGAAAAAGGAACACACTAGGACTATCTAAATAATGTTTTCTTGTTATTTTGCAAATAAATGCTGCACACAATGATGTATACTGTGTAGGCTTCACTGAAACCGTCTGTTAAGAAATAGAAATGTATTTTTGTCAGTTGTGATCAAGAGGCCTTTTGCCTTTAATTGGAGTAGGGGCGATAGCAAATTCTTAGTAAATCAGACATGTTTGCGATTGTGTATTACTAGAGTATTTTAGTAACTTGATGGAAATCTAGCTATTGCTTAGATTGTTTGAAGTCTTTGGATATGGTGCCAGGATGACTCCTTAATATTGCCTAATTATAGCTATACAAAGAAGCCAATATTCAGGTTTGAAGACTTCCTTTCATCTGTGTACAATTTCAGAGCCAAAAAAAAAAATTTTGGTATGTGAATCTTAACAGATACAAAACAAATCCTTAAAGGTAACACTTACAGAAACTGCATTCTTACACCACTTATTTCAAAATCATGCGTCTTTTTTTAAAAAGCACCCATCTACCATAATTTTGAGGCTTATTAAGTTATATTAGTGCCTATATTCAGATTGCTAATTGGGCATACTGTATGACTGTGACTTTGACTTAAGTAGTATTCTGGACTGGCACTTACAGTTCAGCTGTGAAAATACCATGAGATAGAGAGACTGAAACAGCATTTCTGTGAACTGAGAACACACTTTAAAATAAATGATGAAATGCTACTGCATTGCTAGAACTTGACCTCTGTAGTACTAAGAAAACGATTGAAAAGGCGAGTTTAAATGCATACGAGTATGTATTACCTGCACTATAATATTTACTTACATGCTAATATTTACATGGTGTTAAGTTTCATAGTCTGAACATAAAAAATGTATATCCATGTTCATTTATAAATTCTAAGTCAGTCTCTTTCTGGTTTGGTACCTAACCTACATGCTGCTTTCTATTTTAATACGCTTTTTCTTTCTCCTCCTGTGCCCGCAAACAGCCATGGCTAGACAACAAGCACAGCGTGTTTGGACGGGTGACTAAAGGAATGGAAGTTGTTCAGAGAATCTCAAATGTAAAAGTCAATCCCAAAACTGACAAACCCTATGAGGATATCAGCATCATTAATATCACAGTGAAGTAAGCTAGCAGTTGAAGGTTCCAGCTTAAGCAGAAAAAACTCAACACCGTGGGACCCAAAAAGGGACCTGTAAAGAACAGAAACATTTTTGATAATTCCAAGGTATAAGAAGTTCCAGGACAGAGCAATCACCAGTTCTACTATTTTTAATGTACCTAAAGTGCCCTAAGTCTGTATTTCTAGTAACTTTGTATTTTACAGTAAAAACATGTGCATGTTTCTTACAAAGTCTGCTGTTTTTCTTGCATCTCTTCTATGCAAAACTGAAGATAAAAACCCACAATGATAGTGTTTATAAAATAGGATCAGGGTATACTTTGTAACTTTTTCAGGTTTATTTGCGTCTTTCATATCTAGTAAATCCTTTTCACAGTATTGAAATCTTTGACAGAGGAAAATGTCAGTAATTCTAAGCTGAGTAACCTCTTCAATCGTATGTAAGTACATCAGTAATTAGATATTCTGGTAACTTCATGAAATGAGATGTGATGCATGCTAATCAGATTCAGTCCCTCAAAAGCTGCTACCATTAGGAAGCTTATCTTTAGTAAGATAAAGAAGTATCTTCAGGGATCAATAAGAAAAATTCTACAGTAAGTTAAATGTAGCACACCTCTATTCTGAGATGACCTTAACACACAAAAAAAGGCAAGTTTATTAAAATTCACTCTCAAAGTTTCAGGTACTTTTATTGAAAAGAATTCATTTTCTGGGCAACTCAAATTGCAGCAGCTTATGAATTGTTTCCACTAAAAGAGCCCTTTCTTTCAAGAAATCTTTACGTAACGTCCACACCTACTCCCAACAGTTCAGAATAAGAACTATCTCAGAATAAAACCCTCATGTACCACCACATAGTCCACAATAAATTTGAGGGGAGCATACAGTAAGACCATATCAAGTGATAAAACATTATTTTTCAGTTAGCCTAGACATACTGATTTTGAATTGAGATTCTTTAAAGAAAGCCACAACAGTCACTGGATATTGCATTTACTCAATTTCACAATTAAGTCAAAATCCTATGAAAAGTTACTCAGTCTTTTCAAATAATCCTCAGTTAGTAATGCTTGAGTGAGTTCTAGTCGTGGAAATAGTCCAATTACATATTGCATAAGTCAGTACACTAAAAACTGAAGTTCAGTAAAACTGGTGAAACAAGCTTAAATTTATAACTGAAGCAGTTTATATGCAGTATTTATAATACAAATAAACCTCTTAGTGTACCTGTTTACACTGAAGAGTTCACAGACTAATGCAACACTTTCACAGTTACTTCAAGTCATCTTAAATAAATTCCATTTAAAAACACTTTTATGGTAGCATTCCATGTGTCACAAGCAATCTTTTGTACTCAAAAATACACACGAGTGACAATTTTTCCTCTGCCCTCAAATGTAATGTTACAAAAAATCCAAACTGGTCACCTTGAACATTTTAAAGTAGAAGTAGAACTATACTGAGAGGCATGTATAACTGAAGCGTAAGCCAGCTAAAATAAAATTACAGAATCAGGATTTTTCTAAAGCATGCATGCCTTCTCTGTTAAAAATATTCCAGGAAAAGGTATCTACCATGCTTAGCAGAACTTGTTCCTATTTTGAAAAGAGCTATGAAGGGACAGTCAGCCCCAACTAGGTCTGGGATTGCTCTGCAGTATGAGCTAAGCAGATGTTCAAGTCAGAGCAGCCAACTGTATATTGTGCAAGAAGTTACAGGCTGGGAAGGATGAACAATTTTTAGTTCAGTAGGTGCAAGAAAACTCCTTTCAGTCCATTGTAAACTATTTCCAAATTTATCAGGTTGTCTGAAGAAAGAGTAAATACCCCTTCTCAGTACCTATGTACATATGTAGGCATTGAAGCTCATTTCTCAAACATTTAACTAAAGCTTAGTGTTCTTTCAGCTACTATTCAAGTCATTAGACTTGCTGAATCTGAAACTGCATTTAACAACCATTTACATGAAATTTAAGTAACAAGAGAAAACTACAAATAAGTGTCATTATGAGGAAGTAGTTATCTTAACTGCTTCCTCTTAAAGAAAAGTGCAAATATACTATATTATTTGTTTATACATTCTTGGCTTTACCTAAGGTATGTAGTGGGAAAACATCATAAAATTGATAATACTACAATAAAAGCCATAGCCACAGATAATAGCATGTATTTTCTTTGCCAGGTGCGGTTCAGAGCTTTCACAGGTAAACACGCTTTTCAGTGTGGCAAAAATATCTGTGAAACATCTGTGAAACAACACTGCTCACTCCCACTCTCTGGTTCTCCCAATTCACCTCTACTCCAGTAAGAAAAGTGATGATACGCAGTTTTGATCTGCTGGCCATGCTCTTCGTAGCTCCTCTACCAACATGAAGAGGTCCATGGCATGGCTTCTTCAACTGGCAATGGCTGTGCACTTAAAGAGGAGGGCAGAAGATTCTGGTGTGCGTATCAGACAGATAAAATTGTTAGCAGAGTTGCATGTGCAGCAGAAAAAGAGACATCACCAAGTCGTTGCAACCTTCTCCAAATTTAAACAGCACTACCCCCATATTTCATGGGTTTGTGAATGAGTAATCTTCGAAAACAGAGGCACTCGTGACAGTTCCATGTAGAAGATACAGAAAGAGTTGAAAATCTAATTATGGAAGGTTTATATCACATTTTACCATCTGTTCTTCTAAGTAAGAGTTATAATTAGTGTACACTGCTTTTACATTGTGTTATTTAATATTTTAAGGCCATTACCTTAATCTGGAAGCATGACTTCTACATAAAAGTACATAGCTGGATTGACATTACACCACATGACTTCTTTAAGAAGGTTTTTTTTTTTTAAACTTCATTTGACTTCTCGAGGAGTAGGTTTAATCTCTAAAGGCAGATTATGTCCTCAAGCATGCACAAAACACTTTCACCTCAGTATCACTATAGTCTGTCCATAAATAATTTAGCAGTGTACAATTAACAAAAAAACCCAACTAACCCCTCCCCCGCAACTAGAAAACAACTAGCTGAACAATGCCACAGCCCCCTGGCCTGGCAACACTGTTCCCCAATCTCAGTTTTCTTTGCCCAGTTATGCTGCCTTCCGGTAACAAACAGGGAAGCTAACACATAATGGGGGAAACATTTTCTTGTTGTGGTGTATTTGCCTGTAATTTTCAATGTCACCTTTAGATGAATGCATTCTTTAGATATTAAAGAGTAGCACCATTTATTTCTGACTAATAGACAGAGCTAGCTAATCTAATAACTTGAGATGGATTTTGAAATAGTTTCCTGGGAAAGTATTTCTAAACCACTCAAAATTTTTCTGACTCTAATTAACTACTGTAACCTTGTTATAATTATTAGATGAACTCCAATGCATGTTTTATTAGGGAAGAATTTTAAATTGTAGCAACCTAATTTCACCAAAAAGAACCTTCAGGCACCCTTGTAACGAGCCCATTCCATTACTTGTAAATGTATCAAATTTCAAAAACACTATAATGGCACAAGTTTACTGAACCAATTATCCAATCTAGGATAAAGGCTTGTATTTTTCTGTAACCACCAAGTTAAAGTCCCCTCTTCAGACAGCAGACCTAGCTACAACATCCTAAATCGTGCAAACAAAACAAAATAGTAAACTACAATCTTAAATTGCAGCTGCTGTAAAGTTAAGCCACATCCAGGACACCAGCAGCCACTAACTGCCTTGAAAGCCAGTCCAATCCTTCATAAAGTCCTGTACCACTTCGGGCATCACAACCCTGAATGTACCAGCTACGGCCACAGCAGAGTTTGTGGAGACTCAGCAGTTCTGTGATTTCTTCCACTGAAAGCGCACCTGCTACATCCTGCAACAGAATCAGATACAAAGACTCAATTATTCGTCTGAATTATGTTTGTATCTTATTTTTAACCAATGGCTTCAACTGACGCTACACATCACTAAAAGCTTTCCAAACACAAAAGCCAGATAAAACAGTTATACATTTATTACTTCTTACCATAAAACAAAAACTGGTCGCTGAATGTACTACGCACTCTAGCACCACTTATTTTACCAGCATTAAACATAAGGAAAACAGCTCCATTTTATGCTTTCCACATTACCATTCCCTACCCGTAGCAGAGGCTTCAGAAAGGTGGAATTTGATACACAAACTGAGGAAAAGAGTAACAGTGAAAATAACCACAAGTACCTGTTTATTAGCAAAGATCAAGAGTAAGGCGTCCCGCAATTCCTTCTCTGTTAATAATTTTGCAAGTTCACTGTGTGCTTCACTGACCCTGTCTCTGTGACTGCTATCAACAACAAACACCACCGCTATGAAAGAAAGAGAGAAATGTTTTACACACATTCAAATATAAACTTTGTAAAATTAGCTTTCAACTTCTTTTCTTCAAATTCTTTTTTTCTAGCAGTCTTCTATGTGAAGTTTATCAGCAGAGTGCAACTTCAATTTCAAATCCAGGAAGACTAAGAAACGCCTTACAATACCTCCACACTTTTAACAAAAACCTAAATTCATCCTAAAACAGGGAAAAAAAGTCTGAAGTTTTTTGCCCAGTCTAACATAAAGGCTGTGATATTTTAACTACTTAGGTCTAAAACCAGATTTACTATGTGTAGATTGAGTATCTCATTTAAACCATTTCTTAATCCATTTATACTCAATCAACTCCCATACAACTGTTCTAGTTTCCCTTAACTGGCTGTAAAATCTACAGGTTCAGCCAAATCGGCACAGCTTCCTTCAGCTACAGACTACACAATCCAGAGAAGATTGCCATGGTCCTGACACAGCAGCAGTAGATTTTACTATCCACTACAGAGAGTAAGCAAGATGCCAGAAAGACAGGACAGAATTTAAATCCATGGTTTTTGCAATGAAAAAAAACGCCAACACCAAAACTAAACAAAACTTACTGCAGGGATGCACCAGCTTAACTGCTTAGACTTTCTCTCCAACATAAAATTCTTCAAGGCAGACATGATCCCATATTACTGGTGTTTACACAGTAAGTTTTAAGAGGACAACAGAAATCCCGAAATAAAATTCTTCTAAGTTTGAAAAGACGAACAACTTTAAATGTTAAAGTTGGCAATGAAGGCTGAAATAATGCACAAAGTGGAACACATAAACTGAAGTTTGTCATTCCTAAGTATTTCAGATAATTCTGAATAAATGAGTGAAACCCCTGTCTAAATTGGAAAACAACTATGCATGATTTACAGAAGGACAGCAATGAATTTCTAAGTTGGCACCATTTAGATCAATATTTTCAGAATCAGTAAGCTAGTCTATGACCATATATTACACTGCAATACCAAATCAGAAGTTACAGAACTTTGTAGAATTTTTTAAGTTGCCAACTAAAGGCTCCTGAAGGCTGAGTATTTTCATTTAAAGTGCTATTTAAATTTTATACCTGGCAAGTACTACTTCTCACTATGCAAACTTTGGAACGCTGCACCTTGTCTGTTGTCAACTAGAACCAGTTTAACAGATTCTGATTTTATTTGGCTCCATGAACTGTCTGATGGATTTATGGAGAATGAACCTTTATCATGCAGCAGACACTATGACCAACTGGATTAAAATTTCTTAGCTCATGAATCTAGCAGCTGTACTTTGCATTAGATGAACAATTTTCTGCAGTTATAAATTATTCCTATTAATAGACTTTTTGGCTCTGAAATACAAGCTAGAAGACAAAATACAGTTTAAAAGTTGTATTAATCTCACCTTGTGTATTGAGATAATAATGTTTCCACAAGGGCCTCAATTTGTGCTTCCCTCCTACATCCCAAATAGTAAACTTCAAATTCTTGTATTCTACTGTTTCAACATTAAAACCTAGAATAAAAATATTGAAGTTTTATAGTCTTGTTCTGTATGAATATAAAATAATCAAATTCTACAGATAAGTCAACATTCAGAAAAATCATTACATTGAAATTGTTGCTACTAACCTATTGTTGGAATTGGCTGCATGAACTCATCTTGCTTTAACTTAAACAAAATAGTTGTTTTGCCAGCTCCATCTAATCCTAGAGTGACAACCCGAATTTCCATTTTTGGTCCAATATGTACCCTGTTGTCCTGGAAGAAACAGCATACACAAAACAAGAGCAAGTTTAGGAAACTCAAATTAGAAAACCCTTATGTTTAAGATACTTATCTGGTCACTATCTGTAAAGTGATTAAATGGATGGACTCCAAAAATACAAGGCACCATCGCCAATCACCTCCAGGCAATAATATAAACCAAAACATCCAATAATCTCTGTAGTGAACCTGTAACTTCTGCCTGAGTTACCACATACCTTTCAGGAAGACAGCCAATCTCATGCTAATATGTCTTACTTGATAAAATTTCAAATTCTTTCATCATTCATGGCTCAAACCACATGAGGAGTTGTTTGTAGCAGTTACTTGGAATTCTCTGAAGAGAGAACTCTTATTAGTTTTCTAGCTTTTCCACTATGTTTTGTCACATTATTAATGCCCCCACATACAGAACTATTTTGTTGCTGGAAGCTCCATAGCTATGCCTCTTGACCTCAAGCCACTTCCAATCCTTTCCCACATTACAACAGCAACATTATTAGCATTAAGAAGTAATCTGAAATAGTGAAGAAAAATAAACAAAAAACCCCCCAAATCTTGCTTGGAGGCAAGGAAAGAGAATCAACTTCCTATTTGTAGTTTAGACCAAGCTACCATGAGTATTGAACGAGCTGACACTAACAATGCGATCAAGTGGTATTACTAATATAAAGCAGAAAACTGTAAATTGCAAAAAAAACCCCAAAAGCTAAGATTACTATGTATCCCTGAAACATATTTTGAAGTACTTAGAAATGCTACCTTGATGAAATACCAGAGTTTCAAACATCAGAACTATGTGGCAATACATTTGTTTTCTTGCAAAATCCAGACAGCACTGTTCTGGGCAAGCAATACACAAAAACCTGTGTCTACCCCACACAGCTTTTTATTTCTTCTTGCATTAGAAATACTATTTATTGAGTGCAAAAATGCTACAACCTTTCCTGGTACAAGACAAACGTGCACTAGTATGACTGGAGATATAAACATCTACATCATGCGACTTGAAAGACATATACATATATATAAATACACACACACACAGAGGATCCATTATATAGCTGGATATATGTCACTATGACATGCAACTCCATTCTCCTCTCTGTCACAGGTGAAGTATCATACTGCCAGGATAATCAATACAGATTAATTCAATGACCTTATGCTATTGCAATCTCCAAAGAAAGTAAAAACACCTCGAGAAATTGCTTTCAAAAAAAAAAAAGAAAAATTATGCAAATACCACAATGCAAAAGTCAGCAACATCACAGTTGTAAGCGTAAGAGTCGGATCAAAGGTCCACCTAATCTAGCACATTGTCTGAAACTAGGTAGAGATGGATACATGTGAAAGCGAGGAACAGGGAAAGCACATAGTGATAACTCCTCTAAATACCATCTCTGTGTCTACCAGCTTGCAGCTCGTGGACTTACTGAGCCGAAGTGCGGTTTCTGCAACTAACAGATCTTGATGTATTATTCATCTATGAATCTGTCAGAAGATCTTTGGCATAGAACTCCACAGGGTAACTATTTGTTGTGAAAAAATGACTTTATCTGAATCTGTACAAGCTGAGCAGTTTCAGCACTACAGCTTTGATACTACACAAGGCAGATGCCCCAAAACCAAAAGACTAACTGAGTATTTGAGATTTGGAAAATAAAACATTGAGACTTACTAGCTTTTTAATACATTTGCTCTAAGTTCTAAATTTTTTGATTCAGAGCTGAAGTTGCCAAATTCAGTGACAACATTGCAACACAGCATGTTATCAGAAAGGGTTATCTCCTGGAGAAGAAAAACCTGTGGGCAGATTCTTGACAAGGCAAAGAGAAAGAACACAAAGAATTATGCAAAAGGCACTGAAGAGTCTAAAAAATGCCATGCCTCCAGCACCCTCTTCACACTCAAGCCTCAGTTCTGATTTTGTCTAAAATTTCTGGGGATTAATCTCCCCAGTTCTTCTCTGTGCCTGAAAGGAAGAAGGAAAGAAAAGAGGCAGCTCTGGATAGAGACGCTAAGTTTATGGGTTTCTTGCTGGAGGCAGCACCCTGGCTATGGCCAGAGCTTGCTGACTGTGAGCCAGCCTGGCCATCCATCCTCTCAGGGCTCCACCAGAAGCACCAGTCACCTCTACAGCTCCCACAGCTGGAGGGCAGAGGCAGCGCTGGCTTGTGCGCTTACAGCACCAGGGAAATGGAGGACATGAATGATTCTCAAATTCAGCCATCCTGTTGCAGTTTGCTTTCTGTAAGGTTTAGAATGAAAACAGGTTGTTCTCAGTACGTTTGTACTCTCTCAGAAGAAATCAAAATGCAATCTGTGACGGACACTAAATTTCCACTTCTTGTGTGAGTAGATCTGTCGCTTCAGGAAGAACCTTGCAAGAAAAGTTTCTACTCAGAAAACAATGTGTAGCACCTGTAATACGAGTCAGAAAAAATTGACTATTGATGATTACAGCTAGAAATTGACAGATAAAAAAAAAATCTCTGCATCAAGTATATTAGCACTTTTAATCAAAAATATTATTTTAAAAAATCTGGCCAGTAAAACCCCTTAGTGTCTGCATTCCTGGCAGGTGCCAGGTGAGGTGCAGCAAGCAGGATAAACCCCCCATAATCC